AGCCACAGCCTGGCCACAGCAGGAGGTTGGCAGACACAGTCATCACCCCTTCATTTTACAAACAGTGCTAGAGGCTGCATATGTCCCTGGTTAAACCAACTCCACTTTGGCTGCTCTTGTATTTACACTTGGCTGTAGACCTTACATGGCAGCAGGGTTGAAGCCCATGGTTGACAAGATCCAGCTTAAAAGCACACAGGATAAAGAAAGTAAGGACTGCAGGAAAACCTCATTCATACTTTAGTGAGATATGTAGGAATCTGGATTCCTGCAGGGAAGCTGGAGAGGGATTCTTTGTTAGGAACTGGAGTGACAGGACAAGGAGCAGTGGGGATAAATTGAAAGAGGGGAAATTTAGATGAGGTATTAGGAAGAGGGTTTTTCCTGTGAGGGTGGTGAGACACAGGCACAGGTTGCCCAGGGAGCCTGTGGCTGCCCCAACCCTGGCAGTGTTCAAGGGCAGGTTGGATAAAGCCTTGAGCAACCTGGTCTGGTGGGAGGTGTCTCTGCCCAGGGCAGGGGGTTGGGGCTAGATGACCTCTAAGGTGCATTCCAACCCCTTAACATACTATGAAACTATGATAGCTCCAAAACTTGGGGACTTAAGATGCTCCTATTCACAACAGACTTTAGACAGCTGAAACTAAAGAGATTTGTGTAGAGCAGAGAAAATTACGAAATGCTTATAAGCAGTTCTTACTTTTCAGAGAAACATGCAACCCAGTATCTGCAGAGCTAGGCTACGTGTGTTCCGTCTGTTCCCCTCTGCAGACTTAGTGTCATCTTCTTATTTTCCAGCGAACAACTATGTGGAGTCCAAGTGTGAAGCTGTGCTTGAGGAAATGCGGAGGTGCTGCACCCGGTACGGCAAGGGCAGATCCGTCTGCTGTTCAGGGTTTGAGAGAGAAGAAAGGGAGAGAGAAAAGTTGAAGGTGACTTCAGAAAGAATTCCCCCACCACCTCAGTAACACAGTGCAGCTCCAGCAGGTGCTGGAGCCTGGACTCACCTGCAGAGCTGGTGTGTGTTTTTCAAGCCTTCTTTAGACTTTGAGGAAAGCTCTTAGAACACACGTTCCGCACACCAAAAAGTCTAACACAGCACCAACAGATGGCCTGGTCAACAAACTGTGGTTTCTGTGCAAAAACATCATCTGCATTGTCTCTGCATCACACCTGTGAAAAGTCAACTTGGTGTTTTTAGAATGCTTACCTTACTCTAATCCATCCTTGCTCTTAAATGGAGAATTGGAACCAAGTTATGGCTTCTGGAGTGAGAGGTACAGGAAATGAGCTCAGAAGAGTGAGTTTAAGTGTGACACATAAGCCCATCTTGACACAGCAAAGGTATTGTTGCCATCAGACAGTAGTTCCAGACATTTGCCTGTCCAGTGGCTCAAGCTCAAGAATGGGAATCAGATCTGATGATTGTTCCTAAGTCTTGCATTGATCACGAGTGACCACAGGTCACTTTGCCTAAGTGCCTCCTTTTCCCACTGGACAGACTTGTTTGTTTTATATTTGAATTGCCTCTGCGCTGCTATTTGCATGACAAAGATGTTACAGGAACATTATTTCAGGGATTGCTACAGGGATAGGATTTTTTAACAAAAGCAATATTCATTTGAAAGATTTGACTGTTGATACAAAATTTATAAATCTCTGGCTAATTGAACTCCTTTAAGCAATATGTTATGAACCCAGTGTAGTTCAACCTGCTGATACCCAAAGGCAAGTCACGGAGCCCTGGGCTAGATCCAAGAACTGACTTAGGTGCTGCTTACTGAACAAGCAGTTGTAGCACTTGTTTTCCACACAGCATTCCAGACTCACTCACAAACTGGCTGTGTCTGGACACCAGGAGAGATGGCTTTCCAGAAGCTCTCACCCATGCAGCAGAATTTCCTGTGACCTGTAGGAAGAGCTCAATAGACAGGTTCCTGCATCACCCTTCCGAGCTGCCTGTCTCTCTGTCCCCTGTAGCAGGGGTCCAGGCACCTAAATGTCAGACTGCAAACCCACTAGGCCCCTAACTCTGTCATTAGATCTAGCCATAAAGGACTTTGTGCTGTAATCAAGTACAATTCACTTATGAAATAAAGCTTCTAAATACAGACCACTGAGGTCTAGGCACAGTAGTTGTGTGTATTGAAGCCTAGAAGAGCAAAACCATCTGTATTCACTGCTCTGAAACACCATGGTACAAAATAAATGACTGGAACAAATTGGAGTCTCAGTTTGGTTGGTTGTTGAGAATGAAACATAGCTGCAAGCCAGGAAGCTTGGCTGCCACTCAGTCCAGAGCCACATGTGATATCACTGTGTTTAAATAGAAGCTGCTTGATATTTTTATAGCTGGGGCTCAAGATCAGGATAGTTTAGTTTAGGGCTAGTCTTCCCCTCCCTCCCCCTCCTTGCCCCAAAAAAACCCCTTAAGACAAAACAGGGGGTTAGTAGCCTTGAAAAATAGGGGGAAGTGATGACAATGTTGTGACGCAGCTCAAACACTGGTGAGTGGCTCATTTTTCCCTGAGTAGGAGTAGTGGAAAGAAAGTCACTAACAGATGACTTAAAAATATTATGTTCAAGCCTTCTGTTGCACCTGTGAAAATGAAACTTGCCTCCATGCCCATTTATAGTTTGGTGGAGAAAATTTGCTCAGCGGTGTGGCTCTGACCCCAGGCAGGTAATCCACTCCTGCCCCACAAGAATCCCACTTGGGAATGTGGGTGTCAGGATGACCAAGGAGAAGAATTAGGGCAGCCCACGGTTGCCTGCACAGAAGAGGTGGTGGCCTCAGAGAATCATTTAGGTTGGAAAAGACCTCCTGAGATCATCGAGTTTAAGCATTCCTCAGTGCTGCCAAGGCCACCACTAACCATGACCCCAAGTGCCACATCTACACCTCTGTTACATCCCTCCAGGGATGGTAACTCCACCACTGCCCTGGGCAGCTGTGCCAGGGCTGGACAAACTTTCCAGTGAAGAAATGTTTTCCAATATCCAATCTAAACCTCACCTGGTACAGCTTGAGGTTGTTTCCTCTTGTCCTTGCTACCTGGGAGAAGAGCTCAACCCCTCCACCTGGTTACAACCTCCTTTCAGGGGGTCCTGCTGGCCACACCACTTCCGATCCAAGCCAGGATGCTGTTGGCCTCCTTCACATATACCCAGACTCCTGCTACCTGACTGTAACAGCTCCCGTGAGTCAAACAACATGCAGAGGAAGACAAGAACACGCTGAGTCCCAGGAAGACACCAGACCTGACACACAGAAGCTATTAGAGCAAAACTGTTTAATAAAATATCACTTCAACAAGCATTTACATACAATATATAAAACCACTTTAAAAGCCTTAATGTGTTTGAAATTTCATACTGTAACAACGTCAGAAGTTGTTGAAACAAGACTAAAAGGAGTAGGAGTGGGGAGGGGAGGGACACCTCATCTTGGAACCTACCACAATGGAAAACATCCCCAGAGAGGTGGATTCAGCATCAAATGTTGCCAGCCACGAGCACAGCAGAAAGATTTCCCAGATCCTGATGGCCTTGTCTAATCTGTGCCTACATTCACAGGAAACTCAACACTGATTTCTTACTTGTTTCCCCTTCCAGCAGCAATCAACCCGTTTTAGCTCCCTCTCTAGGGCATTTCTCTCTGTTAGCAGCAAACTGGGACCGAAGCAGAATCCATGCCATCCAGGGCTGGGCAGAAATAGTGTCTTACATGAATCTGAAGAACATCCCTAAGGTCTGTTAAAGATTTACTCTGAGCTTTGTGTGGGAGAAAGCTTTGTGGAAGTTACTGCAGCCCACCCTGCAAAAGGGCAGCAGGAACAGGAGACACTCTGAAAACAAATGTGTCCATTCCTGCATGTTCATGTCTGCAGGTCTCGCAGAAAAGAACCAACAAAACCAACCCCCAAAAATCCACCATCATCATCTGCCACTTCACTACCAAACACCAATTTACTGAAGACCTATTTGCTGCATCATACCACTCCTGCAAGTCCTGGATGGCCCTTAGGAAGGCCATCATTAAAAGGATGTGAGCCCAGCTGCAACTTCATTCTCCTTGGCCACGTATGGCAGGACAGGAGCAAAGACACCAACTTCTGTTTCTCAATTACCTACAGCCTCTGTTCAGATCCTGAAGGTGAGAAAACCTCAACTTAATCACTGTGGTGCTATACTGATGCTTCTATAAACAGAGCTAAAACAATTTAACAGCAAGTGCTCATCCCAAACTCCCTGGTGGAAGAACCCACTGTTCCAGCTCTTCCAGCAGTGCTCAGGGGAAGATCCCCATTTCCAGCCATATTGAGATCAGCAGCAGATTATCACAAAGGCATCACACAGCACTGGAAAAGGAGTGCAGCTGCTGAGCCAATGCTGTAAACCCATTGCCCATCAGTGTCACTGTTCCCCAACATGTTCCCCATTGAAGGATGGGCTAAATTGCACATAAACCCCCACATTCTGGGCACACTCCTACATACATCTGCTGCAGGATATCACTGTGCACTCATGCAAGTCTCCATGCTCACAGAATACCTCTGAGGGATGCTTGTTTGTTTGTAATTTTCTCTTGTAGGTCAGAGTTCTGCTCTGCAGACAGCTGCACTGGGTCAGATTGTCCAAAACAAGCTGAGCTCTGCATCTGGCTGCCTCACCACCTGCAGAAGAGCTGCAGCTGATGGAATTAAGCAGGTTTTCTTGTGGAAATGGCAAACAGAAAGAAAGGAACATAACCAGGACAGAAAGCATGTGAGTGAGCCACTCCCAAAAGTAGCACAACCTGGTTTGCCCAACAGTTTTGTCATTTCGGTTGCTTGCAGAGGCCAGGGAAATGGAGTTTGTGCTCTGCAGAGGCAGGGAGAGGACTGCACTCCAGATTTCACATCATCTCCTGCCACTACTCCAGTAGAGCTGGCACAGGGACCCTGGGCCAGTACAACGTACCCTAAGCAGGGATGCATTTCCTGTCTCCAATCCTGTCCCACGTGGTTAGAGCTCAAAGAGCATCACCAATGCTAAAGTGACCAGAGAAGGTCATGGCAGACACAGAAACACCAGCCAGAGGCCCAAGGTGATTTACAGTAAGTGGCACAGCCGCAAAGCCTCTACCCGTGCCAGCCAGGTCAGGCCTACTGGCAGCCTGCACTCCCAGGGGAGAGCCTCACAGGCTGAGCAGTCAAGAAGCAAGGGAGATGGCACTCTACAGCACAGGCAGCTTGATGACCTTCAGAACACATGATCTGGAAAGGGCCTCTCCAGGCTCAGTGCTCAGTTTCCATTAATAGTGCCAGAACTACAATTCCAGTATGGGGAAGAGTAACAGCAGAGAGGAAGCCAAATGGCCATCTATGTACAGTGCAATGGCAAGGAGAGGGGAGGAGAACCCTTATTCACCTGTCCTGGACACAGCTCAGGCTGTCCCCTGACACTTCTGCATCCACTTCAGGACAGCCAACCACATTTTGGATTGCACACACCATCTCTGTGCAGGGGAAGCACAGGTTTCCCAAGTAGCAGGGCAGGAATAGAGGTGAGCAGCTGAGAGCTGTTGTACACATAGACTGGCAGACAAAGGTACATAGAACAGTCCTGAGCATCTGGAGAGAGCCACATTTAAGAGTTTTCTGTGCCACTACATGTTTATGAGGTTGTGACTCATCAAAAAATTTGGGACTGGGCATGTTTAGTGGTGAAAGGAATCATAACGATACACTGGGAGTCATAAGCTTTCAGAATGATCCCAGCACACTAACAGCCCAGACAGAAGAAAGAGTTGGAAATCAGAAGCAGCACTGTAAGAAATAAGGGCTGGGACCTGTGAGCAGAAGGGACTGAAGTCTGTTGGCAACATCTTTTGACTTCTAAGTGAGAGATAACAGCAGTAGAGGAAGGGAAGGGAGCTCGGTATGATAGTTGAATGCAGCTTCTAGGATGCCATTCCAAGCAGGAACCCTCCAGCAAACCCTCCAGTCAGGATAACATTCTTCTTCAGAAATATGATCACCTAAGCAGGGGAGAGAAGAGACAACAGTGTTCAACACCAGCAGGGCACACACCTACCCTTGCCCTAGGAAAACATCCCTCAGGCTGTTCTTCATGGCAAGTGATGCTCAGAGAGAGGTCACTGCTTGGGTTTGGGAAAGTGTCCTACCTAATGCCGTCCCTAATCTCACAGCAGCCTCACCAGTGCCCAGCACAGGGGGACAGTCACTGCCCTGGTCCCACTGGCCACACCATTTCTGGTACAGGCCAAGATCCCTCTGCAGAGTCTCTCTACCTTCCAGCAGAACAATGCCCCTGCCCAAATTGGCATTGTCTATGAATTTACTGAGGATACACTTGATCCCTTTGTCCAGATCATCAATAAAGATATCAAACAGGACTGTCCGCAACACTGAGCCCTAGGGAACATCACTGGTGACCAGCCCCAGCTGGATTTAACTCCATTCACCACCACTCTCTGGGCCTGGCCACCCAGACAGTTTTTAACTCTGCTCAGCCATGAGCAGCCTGTTTCTCCAGGAGAATCCTGTGGGAAATGGTGTCAAAGGCTTTAGTAAAGTCTAGGTAGACAACATCCATAGCCTTTGTTATCTCTCCAGTTTTGCTGCCATGCAAGTATTCCCTCCTTGTGTTTGCACAAAGGAAGATCCCTAACAGCTCAGGAGTCAATCCTGTTTTCTGCTGTCCCTCCAGCACACACCCCAGGAGAGTTGTCTTACCTCATCCGCTCTGCTTCTCACTTCTGGAGATATTTTTTTACCACTGCTGTGAAATTTCAGCTGCTGCTTGGCTTTGTTCACGTCCCGTTCTACCAGCTTCCAGTCCACTTTGATGTATCCTGTGTGGTTTGCAATCTAGAGTTTTGAGGAATGGTAACAAAGTTCATGGAGTAAAGTTCTGCATAACCATGGCTGAACAGACCCCCTTGCCCACCCACCTTCCCTGACCACAGCCACTACCCACACACTGGTCCAGTGGACACACTACCTAAAAAACTGGACAAAAGACAACCCCTGGAGCTGTCTTAAGTGTCCTGCAACATCTGTCTCCAACAGCAATCCCCTAATTGCAGCTTAGCCTGCTTCAGTCTCTATTTTGTAATGTCAAGCTGGCATCACCTCCCCCTCACAACTGCCATGGATATTGTTGGGAATCTGCAGTCCTCCTGCTCCTGTGGGTGGACACAGCTATTAATAGCCTGTTCCTCTCTATTTTATCTGCTCAGGATGATTCAGCAGTGGAACTCCCCCTGCTCAGAGCAAGCTTTTCACTTTCAGCAGAACAAGCAGAGCCAGGAATACAAGGGAGAGTGAGTCACACACAAGACTTACCTGTTTGCCTGAGGAGCAAACAGGTAAGGGCTGAACAAAGTCTGAGAGCTGCTCTGCCTGTTGCAGGATGGATGAGCTAGATGTCCACATCCAAGCAGCTTTCCTTAGTGCCAGGGTTCTTGGAAACCAGGAGAAGTGGTTCAGGACAGAGAGCTACCTGTTCCCTCTCCTCTTCCCCAGTGCTTTACAGAGAGGCACATGCTGGCCTGACTCCTCAAGTAGCTAGGCTGACAGGAAGCATATCACAGATATGGACAGATCCTTCTTGACATCCAGGGGTTCCTCCAGGGACACCAGGTCCACAGGCACAGGACTCAGTAGGTCAGCCAGTTCTGACCAGGCAGCCCCGCAGCAGCAGCATGGCTCACTGCAGCTGAAGGCTGTTCCACGCTCCACTCAAGGGCCCCCAGTGCCTCTGGCCTGGTCTTAGGCAGCAGATCCTCAGTGGATCTGCACCTCTTGCCAATCCTGAAGTTTATGCACACTGATTTTGCTTTGCTGTGGTATCCATGTGCCCTGGGGAACACACACCTTTGATTCCACAGTCACACAAAGCTCCTGGCAGAGTGGGGAAGTGGCCCCACATGTCCCAACAGGCAATGACTCCTAGACAGCCCTTCGTCCCCATCAAGACAGTTCTTGAAAAGCCTGAACTGGTTCATACACACCTGGAGTAGGAAAAAGCCACCTCCCACTGCTGTTGCTGCCAGCTTTCCAACTTTCTGGAAGACGAATCCAGTACACCTACAAATTAACCAGGATCCAGTCAGAAGGAGATACCAAACACACATTCCTCACCATGCTTCCCCACAGGCAAGGCTGCCTTTGGCAGGAATTACCCAAGACTCAGGAACAGCCTGATGAACAGCAGAGGAAACCCATGTGCAACTAGAGAGAAGGATTTTCACCCAGCCAAAATCTTTGCTAAAATTGCTAAAGCTATAAATAGCTTTCCACTTTGTGCTGTCACATTTCAGCCCCTTGAAGTTTTAATTCTTATCTCTACAACATCACCTTCCTCCCAGAAGAGCAACCAGAAATGTGTGATTTTACAAAAATCAACAAGTGATTTTAGGTTGTTTGTTTTTCAACTGGTATCATCTCTGAAGGGACATTAGGCAGCACATGTGTGCTGCTCCGTGGCAGAGCATGGGGGCAGGTCACAGGACAAGCTTCTCTATTGTCCAAACAACTGCTTACTTTTACTTTTCAATTCTCAGAGGAGAAAAATGCTGGAACAAGCAGACAGTAGTGGTCTAAAGCTATACTGGTCTCCAACATGGGTTACATGCTGCCAACAGGAACGACATTGCTGCAGCCACCAGAACTCAACCAGCACCACCCCATCACCCAGTCATGCAGCAAAGGGCTGGTGTATTTTATCATCCAAACCAGACTTGACTTGGAACACAGCTTCCTTATCAACACCGCGAACAGCCCAGCAACCTGCCTTTACCCATTTCTGAACACACTTAGTGAAGATACCAGAGAGGTGCCCAGCTCACATTTCCATCAGAAAACAAGGATCTGTGACACACTGTTTTAAACAGTCACCCCTGTGCCAGGTGAAGACAATGGCCATGGCAAGAGGCAAAGCAGTGTGAGTACACAAAGTTCAACTCAAACAATGCTGTGGGAATGAAGCTGCAAATTGAGCCACATGCCATCAGCCCCAGCACTTGCACAAGTGACACGAAACCCCAGGAATCACAGCCACAGGAGGGTTTTAATGCAGATTCCTGAAGCACATCCACTTCCAGTGAAGACAGCATCCTTGTCGCAAGAGGTTCCCATCTGCCTGTACTAAATTCAACACCACCACTTCAAGCCAGAAGTTAAAAAAAATTAAAGACAGATGCAATTTTCTTCCCTTGGAGACAGTGTCAGTTATCCAGCTCCAATTTAGAGACAGCTCTTAAGACCTCCCACAGTTCAGCAGACCATGCCAGGGGACAGCAGACTGAGCAGGCTGGACACCTGCCCCATCCCCGAGCAACTGCCAGCCGAGCCCCCTGCACCTGTCAGCGCGTCCCCAAAAAACCAGACAGTGCCTGCCACGAGCAGCAAGGGCCACCACGGCACATCTTACCATCCTGTGACCCCTCCGATCAGCAGCTGTGTGGATCAGCAGCTGTGTGGCCACATTGTATTTCTCAGCGCTGGACCCCGAGCTGGGGCCAAACACCTTGCGCCACCAGGGTCTGTTCTTGGTGTACTCCGCCACGTCCAGCACGTTGAATGTGTCTTCCTTCGCACCTGCAGGCACCTGGAGAGGCTCAGTGCTGGGACTACC